TATACATGAGTCAGAGTTATTTGGAAATATATAGACACAACAAGCAGACATGGAATTTAGTTAGCCTTTCTTGATCAGCATGGGAGTTATAATAAAGTCCAAAACTGCCAATGTTTTTTTTTTTTTGAGATCTTATAAACAGTAAAGTAATCAATGGGCGTCAGATGGCCTGGATAAAATCTTATCCCTAACAGACATATCGGTCAAAGACGATCAATAAGTGTAATATGAACGCACTGATTATGCACTGTATGGTTGTACAGGCACTAGACGAACACGTGCAGCTTTTCCTAGACATCTCTGATACTCATGATTTCAGCGCATGTGTTTTAGATCAATAAATTAGACAAATATTCTAAAGGACTTGAAGTTTTCATTGAAATTTTTATATGATTTTTTTGTTACATCAGATGTCTGTGCTTGCAAACAGTGGTAACACTTTAAGCATTCAATACAATCATACAATGCAACTAATGCTTATATAATGATGATTTAATACATAAACATTCAGAAGATGTTGAGTAATTATCAAAAAGAGCAGCTCTAATTCAAATCGCAGCTTTATGTTAATGTGCTTATCCTAAAAAGCTGTAGTTTCCATAGCAACAGCTAATTCATAGGGATTTGTATGATGGACATTCTACATATATTTAATAATAAACAGATAAAAAAGCATGTTGTTATTTAACAAAGAAAAATGACTGTTTATAGCTGCTACAACATAAGTGATAACAGGAACTTACTTGTCTCCCAGATGGTGCACAACATTAAATGTAACTATAAATGGTTAAAAAAATACAACATGGCAACGTATAAGAGGAATACTTCAGGGCATGCTGTTTTTGGAAAACAATTAACTTCAGAAAAGATTACAGATTATGCTAATAAGAGGAGCTGTTAAGGCCCAACGTAGACTTGTGTAGAGAGGTATATACCACTGGACAATATCTGAACAATATGTACAGTCCCCTCGAAAGTATTGGAATGGCAAGACCAATTTATTTGTTTTTGCTATACACTGAAGACATTTGGTTTTGAAATCAAAAGATGAACATGAGATGTTAGATCAAATTTGTAGCTTTTATTTCCTGATATTAACATCTAGATGTGTTATACAACTTACAACATGGTACCTTTGGTGGAAAACCACAACATTTTTAGGTGAAAAAAGTATCGGAACAGATAGTCTTAAAGTAAATTAAAGTAAATAACACTTAATATAACATGTTGGTTGTATATCCACCAAACTGTTGCATCCTCTTTTGTGATGCATTTCCAGGCTTGTACCACAGCTTTTTTCAGTTGTTGTTTATTTTGGGGGCTTTCTCCCTTCAGTCTCTTCTTCAGGAGGTAAAATGCTGCTCAGTTGAGTTAAGGTCTGGTGATTGACTTGGCCAGGCTAAAGCCTTCTACTTCTACTTCCCCTTGATGAAAAACTTTGCTGTGCTGGCAGTGTGTTTTGGGTTGTTGTCTTACTACATGATGAAGTTCCTCCCAATTAGATTGGAGTCATTTCTCTGTAAACTGGCAGACAGAATGTTTCTGTAGACTTTCTGAATTCATTCTGCTGCTACCATCACGAGTTACATCATCATTAAAGATTAGTGAGCCCGTTCCAGAAGCAGCCATGCAAGCCTAAGCCATGACACTACCTCCAACTTGACTGACCAGTGAGCTTGTATGTTTTGGATCATGAACAGATCCTTTCTTTCTGCACACTTTGGCCTTTCAATCACTTTGGTAGAGGTTACTCTTGGTTCCAGAACTTTTGTGGCTCATCTCTGTATTTCTTTGCGAATTCCAATCTGGTCTTCTGATTCTTACTGCTGATGAGTGGTTTGCATCTTGTGGTTTGGCCTCTATATTTGTACTCTTGAAGTCTTCTTTGTGTGGTGGATTGTGATATCTTCACCCCACCCTGTGCAGGTTATTAGTCATATCACTGACTGTTTTGGGTTTTTCTTTACTGCTCTTGCAATGTTTCTGTCATCAACTGCTGTTGTTTTCCTTGCCTGACCTGTTTGATGTTTGGTTATTAGTACACCATTGGTTTCTTTCTTCTTCAGGACATTCCAAATTGTTGTATTGGCTATGCCCAATGGTTGTGGAATAGCTCTGATTGATTTTCCCTCTTTTTTCAGCTTCAAATTGGTTTGCTTTTTCCCCATAGGCAGCTCTTTGGTCTTCATGTTGGTTTATCCTTTTTGCAGTCTTGACAGGCAAAACCCAGGGCTAAAACCAAGAGCAGACATTCAGAGTTATCAACCAATCTAGCAGAGAACACCTGAGCAACAAGAAACAACTGTCAGCCACGTTTGAATATTTTTGATCACTTGAAAAATGGGTGGGTTCAAACAAAAGGTGGCATATTGTAAGTTGTTTAACACATTTACATGTAAATATCAAGAAATTAAAGCTGAAATTCTCACATTCATCTTTTCATCTCAAACTCAAATGTCTTCCATATATAGAAAAACAAAGAATCGGCCTTGCCATTCCAATACTTTTGGAGCAGACTGTTTTTTTTTATTCGTATTTATATCGTGTGTTAGGGTTTAGTTTAGAATTGGAGGTGCTGGAAAACAAAAATAAAAAAGGCCCTCTCATTGCCTATAATTTGCATTAACCTACATTTTTTCCAAATGCACTCTCCCTAATAATCTAAATGATCTTTATTAATACTGCAAGTCCTGATATTAATTAACAGAATGAGCAAACAAGATGATAATATTTAACTATTAGCATTATTAATGGCTATTCATATATCAACCAGAGGCTGTTGATGTATATGCTTCTTTACTTCCTGATATCCTAATGATTAGTGGCTGTGTTAATTCATCATTATGAAAGCATTAGTTAAGTTTTTATATATTAATATAGTAAACTGTGAGCCAATCCACTTAGTAGCTCATTTCTGACTGAGCTCACAAGACTATTCAGCAGAAGATGATGTCCTCCATTAGACCACTTTACTCAAGCTACAAACTTGTCTGAAATCTGCATCAGATTTGATGAGGTTAAAGATCTAAATGTAATGCACCTGGGGCTGAATTCTGCAAGTGTAGCATGCCTCGAGGCTGGAAGAGGAGATAAACATCAGTCTGGCTGGTATCCTGTGCTACAGGATAAGAGGTAAGCCATCCTGCAGCAGCAGCAGCCATTGGCCTTACACCTTAACTTCCTCTATAGCTTACCATAGACAGTTCCTGAAATGTGAAAGACCCTCTCTGAGGTCAAAAACCACAATTAATGAAATACGACTAAGTCATTTCCCTCCATTGCACATGCACGAAGGATTTAAGTGAATATGAATATATTTTTCAGATTGAACAAATAATCTGTTTTAAACAGATACAAACACAAGAGATGCACTATTTAGATTTTTTGTTTGTTTGTTTGTTTTGTTTACAAAGTCCATTTGGATCAGTTATTCATCCTTAGTAAGTGCCTGGTCAGGATCATTTTTATCTTTTGGGAAACAGAACCAGCTCAATTTGTTAGAAAATATCAGGCACAAGCAAAAATAATGACTGCATGAGTGGGATTTAAAAAACAGTCTCATGCACATCTCTAGTTGAGACCAATTATAAACTCGAGTGAGGTAGCTGAGGTTGAAGAACTGAATATGCTGACATTACTACCTCCGTTTTTTTCTACTCCTACCTAAGGGGTCATAAAAAGAAGATATTTGGAGTACTACACAGATTCACAGATTCGCTAATCGATTTGGACTTGAAAAATATATGAAAGGTGGATTGTGTAATTGTGATGCTGCAGGCTAGAGGAGTCCCTTTGTATTAGTTCCACAGAGGCTCATTTCAACGGCCTAGAGACAATACAGATGAATGTCCAAATGTTTCTTTTGATTTCTCTATAAAAGGTTGCTTTGTGCACACGTGAGCCTCAAAGCTTGCATGCATGCACACATGTATCTCTGTCCTGGCCTGCATAAAGGCATCTTCCTTCTAGTGAAATGCAAATACGACAGGAGTTAATAATAAAAGCAAAACCTGCATTTCAGGTAGTGCTTCCAAACTTCCTATCGACATACATGCCTTTCAGTCTGCTTGCACAAGCATTCGCAGTCTAAACTAGACTCCTCTCCTTCATCACGGCAAACCTTATTAAGACTGTGCCCCAGACAGGACTCAGAATCTGAAACCACTTAGAGGGGCTCCAGGAGTGAGTGAAAGAGAGAGAGAGAGTGAAAGAGAGAGAGAGAGAGAGAGAGAGAGAGAAACTTACTTGAGAAGAATGAAAAGCTCAGTGTTGCTATTAGAAAGCCATCAGACTTGGCAGGAGTGGTAAGCTCGTTGGGGGGGGGGGGGGTTGGCCGGGTCTCATTATATCGGCCCCCCATTTCAAAGTCTACCAGGATATTGTAAGATTGATCGCGGCAGCCAAAAATAACAACATTCTAGTTTCTATGAGGGGACGGACCAACACAGGCTCGCTTTTGGAGAATTACTCACATTGATGGCACTGATCTCATTTTAAACAAAACTAACAGGCGAGTGAGTGGGTTTTACGGTTCAAGCATTAACACTTAGGGACTGGTGCGTGATTATTATGTCTACGTGAAGCAGTGGAGCGTGTATTTATGTACTTCGATGAACAGAAAGTGCAAAGTCTAATATAAATAGATGTTCCTCATGGTTGGAGTAAGGGTGGCCAGGTCTGGCTGTACTTAGTGGGCTATAGTTCACAGTAGCATAGCACTGAGATCCCTTGGGGCCCGACTGTAATCAGAGCGGAGGCCCTTCTAAGCTGCAAGTGCTCACCCTCCCGAAAGCTATGGCTCAGCTCACGCCCGGGTGGCATCCGGAGGTCATCTGTCCAAACTCAGATGTTTTTAGGCAATACTATCACGAGGGCCCCTATTTTGGGGACCGTTTAGAAGTGAAAACGTAACCTGCTGTTTAACAGAGGCCAGTTTTATGGAGAATGGGGAGCAGAAGAGTGGCTGTTTGAGGGCAATGGCATTATGATGTCATTATACCACCTGGCTAGCTCAGTTGGTAGAGCATGGGCCTCAGGATCATGGGTTTGTACCCCATGCTGGGTGCCAACCCTAGCCAGTGGGGGTGCACAGGCTAGTGCACTCTCAGTGCCAGTCCCAAGCCCAGATAAATGGGGAGGTTGTGTCAGGGTGGGCATCCAGCATAAACCCTATGCCAAATCAACATGGAACAATGGACGGTGATCTGCTGTGGCGGTCCCTAACGGGAGCAGCCAAAAGAACAACAACATAACCTTGACCAGTCACTGTAATCCTTTAACGATGAGCACAGAACATCTGTGTAACTCTCTGCTTTTACAAACTTTGTGAATTCTGCAGTATGTCAATAGATGTGTATTCATAAAATTATATTCATCATTATATTCATATTGCATTTGTGATTTACTGGAAATCTATAGAGTTTTTGTAAGTGCAAAACACAACAACAAATCTAAAACACAACAGCAAGACAAAAACATGACAGCAAAATCAAAAATACAACAGCAAACCAGAGAACAGAACATCAAAATTAAAAACAACAGAAAAACACACACACGCACACAAGAACAATTCAGAAAACACAACAACAAAACCCAAAACACCACAGTAAATGTGAAAACAGAACATCAAATTCCAAAACCCACAATCGGAAAGGGTAGGTCCTTACTGGACATCACATGCTCGTTGCCGATTGGCTACAGTGTGCGTCAGATAGACGTTGTGTACAGTGAGATGAGATATAAGCTGAAATGAATCTATGAATCTTTTATTTGGGCTTATTTTTATCAAGATGATTTTTATTTTTTGTAGAAATGTTGTCAACTTTATAGGTAAGTAAGCACTGAAAAGCTGCCTAAAGCACAGTTATTCGGAGGAACGAATTTACATAATTTGCATGAAATCGTTTTTACTACGCTAATGACATAAAAGTCTGAAAAGGTGTATATCATTTTCATAAACCATGTCCAATCAGCAACAAGCTTATGATGTTCATAAGGACCTACTCCTTCCTTTTTGACATAACGTCAATGTGTTTCTGAATTTGTTATTGTGTTTTTGGTTTTGTTGTTGCTTTTTCTGATTTGCTGTTGCATTTTTGGTTCGGTTTCACACTAACACGCCACCGTAATATTTGCGGTTTTTCAGAACTTCAGAACACTGCTGATGTGGATTCATTACTTAAAGTGACTTGTCTGTGTTTTAAAAGGTTGGATGGAGTATTACACTAGCTTTTTTCACTACACACCCAGTCCTACACTCAGATAACACCTCCTCACACCCTTGTGTGGTCATATAGTATACACCCACACTGTATTATCAGCAGGCACCATATAGTTCAAGATGTTCATATTGATAAGTATGTCAAAGACAGAACAACAACATCGGTGGCGGATTTAAAAAAAAAAAAAAAAAAAAAACTTTTTTTTTCTCCTCCACAATAGTTTGGTCAGTCTTTTGGTTACAGCAAATAATTATTTAGTTCTATGAAAGTTTTTAATAGAGCCTTGGGTCCGTGTGATCAAACAATTTCAATTCAATTTCAATTCAGTTTATTTGTATAGCGCTTTTTACAATGTCATTGTCTCAAAGCAGCTTTACACAAACAAAAAAGCCGAGGCGACGGTGGCAAGGAAAAACTCCCTGAGATGGAGATAGGAAGAAACCTTGAGAGGAACCAGACTCAACAGAGAACCCATCCTCATATGA